GAAAAACATACAGTGAATAGTGGAGTTTTTGGTCGTTGAGCAACCATACAAAACTGTCAATATGAAATATCTTGTTGATTGATTAAGACGAAGCCTAAACACGATTATGTACCACCAGATACACATGAAGATTGTGAACCATTTGTTTTCTGTAATTATAAAAATTAGTCTATGAGATTCTCTACAAAATACATTCTTATTTTTTCAAGTGGAACTTCATTTATGAATACAATAAAGTTTAGTTAAACGCCAAAAATTGTCGATGTATTGGTAGGCGTCAATAACTCAACTGATCTCAACCATATAAACTTTGATTCTATTTCTATTGCAAATACTTTAGAAAAAAATGTGTTTTATACGACTTTTAAGCTTTTTTTGTTGAAATTCTCAAATACAAAACTTCTAATTAAATTTTTTTCATATTATGTGGACATGATCAATGTAATCGATATGTTGTTGTACGTTCTCATCTACAAAGATAAAGATGTTTACAAATCATTGAAAATGAATGTTCAAGTGTATTTTTGTTTTTTATCTTGGTTCAAATCCTGTTTAGCCATCATTAATTTTAATTTTATTTATGATTTTAATAATAACAAAAAAGGAGTAATTGTGTTCCTTTTTGTCCAAAAATTATTGATCGCTGATGACTCCTCCAGGACACGAAAAGAGATTTTACTTATTTCTTGGGCCAAGAAGTTAAATTTCTTACGCTTCTTATACTTCTTGGGACAATAAAGGAGATTTCTTTGCTGATTTCTTGGGTCAAGAAATCTGATTTTATATTTTTTGGAACAAGAAATTAAATTTCTTGGATTTTTTGAGTCAAGATCTTGCGCCCAAGAAATGCAAGAAAAAAAGTGGCACGTTCTTGCCCAAGAAACGCAAGATCTTGGGACATTTCGTGGGGCAAGATCCTGGTCAAGAAATGAAAAAAAACGTTCACTAGGGTGACTTCATCTTTTTAAATAGATGAAACCAGAAATAGCTGCAGTTAATACGTCGGAGTTAAACAATAACAACCACAAGCCTTTTATAATAATATCATTTTAATATAATATTATGTATGATATATAGTGCTATTGACGTTGATATGTAAGAATCACTTAATTTATATGAATCATTGGCTTTGATGTAGTTGAAATACTAGATAATGTCGGCTTTGGTATTAACGTGGTACTCCAAACAGGTGGTAGAATGGGTGGTTTAATTAAAGTACAGGAACGTCCAGCTAAAAATTATTTATATAAATACAGAAAAGATGATTTTATTCTTAGTTGAAATCTAGTTAACTTTGTCTATTTATAGATACTCGTGGCTAAAATATTTCTAAAAGTTTCTTCTGGTCGTGTTGGATCCATCATATACAAATCTATTGATTAAAAGAAAAAATCGTCGGTAAGTGTATGAATACTGGTATTATTTGAGGAAAAAGCAACATGGATTGCACAAGAGAAGCTGACACACTTTATGCATTATTTGCACGTATACTTTCAAAACATTCTGACATTTAAGAGTAGTTAAATAAGTCGCGTAATCTGTTCAATTTTTTTACTATAGAGACATAAATAACTGAGTATGAGCACACGCAGAACTGTCATATTAAACAATTATGTAGGTGCTGAAGAAAATGTACGATTGGAAAAATAGAGACAATATCATGAACGGAGAACAACAGCTATAAATGAAATAAACGTAAAAGATGAATCGGAAGCAAAAGTAAAACAAAATGATTACAATGATAATAATAATGTAATAAAAACAGTACGAGCAAGAGCAACAACCACATCACATCCACATTCATTCATTGACTATGCAGGAACAATTATTGAAGATGAATCGAACATCAATAATGATTATTACGGTGAAAAAGTAGACAATGAACAAATATTTTATGCAGACACACATATAGCATTAATAAAAAAATTACACAAATACACAAAAAAAACATTACATGATTCCGTTATTGATATATTAACATTTGTTAGAAGTATTAAATTACATAAAGATGGTATGATCTGGTAATTGTGAAGCAATTTTAAATGGGTCCTATTTAAATGATCAGTATTTTTGGATCAGCAAATATATGGTTTTTGTGCAGTAAATAATTTCGAATGTCAGTAATTAAATCAAAATATGATCAGTGAATATATTA